AATATTGATCGGTTCAGTTATTATAATCGTACGTTGATCTGAAAGACAATCTCTTGATAATTTCTTTAATAGAGCAGTATTAGCTCCAGTTTCAAAGCTTAATTTCTTACCCGTACAGTGTACTTGCGTTCTCTTGGGCACAGCTTTAGTTAATCGCATGAAAAGTTCGATTATGAAATGCACTCAAAATGGATAAAAATAAAATCGTTGCCTGGTCATGGCTGCTCGTACAGTGCGAAGCTAGTGCGATGCCAGACGTAAAACTCAGAATATTTATGTAATTGAATTACCTTTCTATACAGCCAGAGATCGAGGTGAAGTTTTGTGCAGTTATAATAAAAAATTCAGAAACTTCAAACTTAAATTTAATAATAGTACAAATACATTGCGCCGATTTTCGGCACTAAATAGTAATCAAAGTATTTCATGAACATAATAGATCGCATAAAACGTGTAAAATATGAAGGTCCGATAATTAAGATAGCTAGCAAATAGAAGAAAGAACCAAAGGCCTTTCGACCCAAAGAAATGCTAGGACCAGTAATTGACTTTTTATACGATTATGGCGTGCAATACATTTATTGTCCAATAATTTTAATTTCCGTTTCGGGCGAAAGGAATGAAAGCACGGAAACATAGGAACAGATGTAGCAGCAGAAAGCAGCGAAACACCAATGACAGTAACGATAACACTGACTGTAACCGCATCAGTAAGTATCACAGCATAACAGGACGACAGTGAAATGGTGTTAACTGTTCGTTTCACTTCAGCACTCTTCTCATGCTTTTCTGTGAAGAACAACAACAGCAGTAGCAACAACAACAATATGTTGACAAACCTATTTCGTCAGACGTTACAACAAACTATCAAGAAGAAAACATCGAAATTGGCAACGAATCCAAGAGCATCAAAATAAGAGACTCGAGAATAATAAGAGAGGAAACAAAGAAAAATCGGTGGAGCAGCTTCTTCCAAAGTGGTGTAACGCCGAAAAGAATGGTATTGCCTGAAAAGTGGCAACAGTCTGAACAGAAAAGCATTATCGCGTACGAACCTGGTGAATAATGCTAAAGAGGAGAAACTATGACGAGAAAGGCTAAATCGGATTCAAAACATGAACAATCGTCAAGGGAGTGACTGACAGGGCGCAACGCAGCGTTGGCATTAAACTACAATATTATGCCAGGTTGGCTAAAAGCTGTGCTTTTCTGTCATATAATAGGCCGAGATGTGGATTTGGCAATGCCACACAAGTTAGCTAACTGTACTTAAGAAATCAAAAGGTTGCTTTAATTAGATTTTAAAATTAAATTAAATAATTAGTGGAACAAATATTGTTTCTTCTCAAGACTATGAAAAATGAAACTAAACTGAGTAGAAATAAAGCAAAAGATACAGGTTTGTAAAGAATTGAAAAGTTCAGACGCTTTGAGTGTCGCGGTAGCAAACTAGATCAACCATTGGGCTCGCAAACTTGAGGTTCCAGGTTGGATACCCAGGTCATACATGGCTAAATTTCTGTCTTCCTCTCGTCAATGTCGATTCATGTCAATGTCGTTTGACAAGTGACCATTATTAGATTTCTTTTCAAATTAAGAATAACCTCCAGCGTACTATCATCTGTTTTACCCCATAAAGAAACAGGCTATTTTCAAAGCATTTTTAACAGTACGAAAAGGAAAACCAAGGTGGGTTCAGGCGGAAGAACACTGTCAAAAATTAAACCCGTATTTTTAGCTTCACTAAAGTAATTTTAATGGGCTTTGAGATATACATCTAAGCACATGTAGATAGCACTGATTCTAGAAGATCATTATGATATTTCCTTCACCTCGTAATGGTACTTATGAATCACGATAAATGTTTATTGGGGTTTGGAGTTCATGTCCGATTGGAGCTGCTATTTGATGTATTATACTCACCTCTAACTCAAATACAGAAGATGCCCAGGTATGTATAGTATTGATTATTATCACCGTTAATATATACATACCTAACCATAACAATCATAAAAAAGCTGAAATCCAGTAATTTTAATGAATTCAATTATTCCAAAAATTCCGTGGCAGTTTTGCTTGTCTAATAAAAAAAAAACTAATCATTAGAAGGCCAAAGTAATATTAAAAATGCGGCTGTCAATTTTTGTACAGCTGTATTTCTATGATCCAATGTATAGAGCTCAAGTTTTGTTTTACGTAAAGTTATTATTTCAAAACCAAATAAAGCAAAATCTACTGTTGATTGACCCATCAATAAACATTTCTATATTTGATGCATTCAGCCTCGCATTGTTCTTCAGAGAATTCTCTTCACTCCATGAAAATGAAAGGTACCGATTTTGTTACTTCCCAAAATTCCAAAGTATAACGATCACAGTTCTGGGTTGATGCGTTTCCTAACGCACGAATATAGTGATTGACATAGTTGTCTAAAACTGTTAACAGCGAAACTCGTATTCAGCATCAGTCTACATGGACCAATATCAATGCTCCTAAATTTGTCATGGGCTCAATCTATCATCAGTCCACCCTTCTTCAGTAAAGCGATTCATGTCGTACACGACCGAGAAACGCAGAAGTAAGCCGAAAAAGATTTTGAACAGATCCGAATAAGAACATACCGCATCACCAACTGTATTGCGAACGTATACTTTGTATCGTCCCACAAGTCATTGTGTACCAGTAGTGTATTCTTTCAGCTTTTCGATGAGATGACGGTGTTCTAGCAAATTGGACACAAATTTGAAATCGCTCTTATTTTTTTTTCTTTTGCTGGGTATTTCCAGTTACAACGGTTGTCCTATAAAGACTATGTACGACTCGTTCCATCAGACCAGCACGTTGATGATGGCTTGGGATGACCTTTGCTATGCAGACTACCGTAATGTAACGGATCTGATACTTAAATATCCCACCGTTACGCAGCAAACCGCGGCAATATGTACATGATTGCCTATTTAATTGTTTTATGTGAGATATTTCGGCATATGTCCCCTTCCCCATCCAGTCTTACAAGTTTTTTTCATTTACGATCTTCGTTACATCGTTAATTTAGTTGTATCTATACCGGACGCATTTGAAGAAGACACTTAGAAGAAGTTAATACGATAGCTTAATTTATCGTGCATAACCTACTGCTAGTGATACCGGAAAAATTTTTATAAATAATTCAGAGTAAAATGAATGTTAGCTGTTATTATGATGAAACTTGTCGTCTTTGACGAGAAGCTATAGTCATGTTGAAGTTTTTGCCAACCTTTAAAAACTTGTCTGAAACGTGATACATTATTTAGCGGCCTATATTAGTTCGTTTCAAGCCAAAACGATCTTTGCTTGCTTATGTACTATTAGACGAATAACAACTGATCTTCGTCCACTCATTTATCCTTTTAAAGGCGAGGCTATCGATGCTACACTCGTAGTTGACATTTTTCGCTCTTACTTTTACTACTGCTACTGTAATGTTATTATTATACTATTATTGCTATTACTGGACTAAAACAAAGACTGAAGCAATAGTGTGCTAGTAGAGGTTATCATGGCCAAAATGGCGGTGTTTGTAATGTGGGGTAAGCGACAATTTGCAACGTGATTGATTTGAAATGAAAAATTTCAACGCTTGTCGGAGCTGATGTTCCTACAGCTAAGGGTGATGTTGCTTTTGTTCCCAGTCCTGAAATAAATTCATCTTTTTTTCCTTTGGCCCTATTTTTTCTGAAACAGACACCCTTTCGTCGTTATGCTTCTATCTATATTATCTCACTGTAGCTGGCATAAGAAGCTAGAAATTGAAGTGATTGACATCTGCAGTGTAACCGGTGAAACCGACTTTGAAATGTGAATGACAGTAACGAAAGAGCTCTGACGTTTACCGAGGCGTTGGACACAACTTCACGGATGAAAATGCATCAGAACATCAATGACGCGATTGTGTTTCCAGCCTTGTTAAATGGTTCCGCCATCATATTAGACTTCACCAGGAATAACTGGTTCAAATAGATTTACACGTTGTCGGAATAAAAGGCAAAGCTCAAACAAGTAGAAAGGAGACGGGGACAAAATGTTATTATACTGGATGGCGTCTGACGGGGTCCTCCGTCTTTTTTCCCAATGTGATTAAACGAATAAACGTAATCGAAGTCGCTATCCTGTGTACTAGGGTAGTAACTAACATATAGCGCCACGAAGATCTCTGCAGCGAATACTCTTGAATAGACAGAAATATTCATGTCATGTTGACGCAACTGGCAATTTTTCAGTTACGTATGATTATACGTAAGGGGTTTTATATGCTATATTTGCTTAATATTACTATACATTAACTTACATTCGAAAGAGTATAAATGTAATTAGGCCGCTCTTAAGTACTACGTTCCTTTTCGTAACCACAGAAGATACGTAAGATAAAGATATATTTATTTAATAAGTCAGTATCATTTAATTACCCAGATTTATATATATATATATATATATATATATATATATATATATATATATATATATATAAGCGCGAGGCGTAAAGTAGTTTTTCCTGCAAGCCAATGACAAAGCTAGATTGCTTTATTTTGGTGGCAGAAAAAACACCTGGCGATATATACGTTCGTAGGCCAACTCGTCGGTGCCTGGATAATTGAATGGTGTAACTCGAATTGGCGTTTGACGAGACACAGCAGAAGAGGCAGATAGAGAAATCTGAGTATCTGGGTGAGGATTGTGGATGATTGGCTAATCAGATAACATAAAAAGCGTGTCCATACTTGCGGGGGATGTCCTGAGTGTTGTTCGACTTGCGTGCCTAGAACACGACTACACGAGACGGTTTCAAAGAGGAGCTTTAGCATCCTTTCCCCCCTAAAGAAGTCGAATTGCGTGAGCGACTGACTTCTGCTACAGGAGAAGCGAGGGACGCTTGAACGCTTTGGTGTGTAATAAACGAGCATTGCTAGACAAGCTGGGAGTCAAAATAAATAGTTAAGGCACGGCAAACCTGGGCATACATATATATATATATATATATATACGTATGATCTTTTTATTTTACAACAATGGTACTAAGCATTTATCGTGCTACGTCTACAGTTTATTTAACAGCTAACTAAACCTAACTATGCGTATTCAACTATATAATAAATTATAACTTAATTTGTTTATAGAGTACTGCTAAACAACTACAACCATTGGTGGTCTGCTCAATGATATTTCATGCATCTCTTCGTTACCAAAATTAAATATTCAATCGTAAAGAGCGTTTAGTAGTATTAAAATTCATTGTGGTTCGAGTGACTTAAAGTTGAATCTGAGTGCATTAATCACACATGTTCCTTATACACCTATGTTGAATAAAATTGTTTTTGGGGTGTAAAAAGAAAAAAATGTAATCATTGAATGAACTCGTAGCATCCACTGCTACAACTGACAAGCAAAATGACGAGATTCTGTAAAACGGTACGCATTTTTTCTACTTTGGTTAGCATCCTGAACCATGGCAAGAAGGCGCAATAATTTTTGATTACATTTTGCATAGTCTTCATCATAGAGATAAATATAACAGTCGAACATAAAAAAATGAATGGCCAGAAAGTAAAGTATGGTGCAAATTAGGTAATTAGAAGTCAACAAGCTAAACCAGCCTCAGATGATGATTTGCACATCTAAATCACAACGTATGGGTTCCGTAATATAAAATCGAAAGCTGTTATTTGAATGTCCTTTGTTATATATCTTATTTCGCAAAATTACTCACAGATTAACAATGTGATTGGTTGATACCGATGCTAAAAGCCGCTTTTATCATTCAGGCCCATACTCCAAGCCATAGATATTCACTGTTCTTATGAAACTCTAGTTTGTCTAAAGTCACAGGCGAATCGGGTTGTTATACAAAAGTCAATCATGTCAGTCCTTAGGTGGCATAACACGATATTTTTAATGCTGCAGGATAACGTATCTAAAACACGTCTAAATATCGGATGCCACCAAGCATTTAGGTATTTAAACTTCAGAACTGAAAAATCGTCAAAATGATTCAATTGTCATACACAATGTTTTTTAATATATTCTAGCAGGTTTACTGATTTTGTAAACAACATTTTAGTGTTTAACCTCTAAAATATTATGTTACATCCCGGATGGTATCAGCTGGTAACGAATAAGGCGTATGTTTCGTTTAACTTTGGTAACTTTGGTAGAGTATTTCATTCATCGTTGGTTACGCCCTATCTAATTTTAGTCCGCTGCCTAAGACTTGTCTCTAAGTGGTCAGTTATGCTCATGAATTGTCTGCTTCCAATATTGCGACGTTTGCATTTGATTCAACCGCGATACCGTTCGATCAAAGGCGAACATTTCCTAAAATGAGCAAAGAATAGCATATTTTGAAAGACAGTAGATACGAAGTTCTCCTTCACATGATAAGTAATAAGAATCATGAATAATATTAAGAATCCAATAATATTTATAACGTATCCTATGTTTTTTTTATAAGTTTCAAGTCCGAATTTGATTTACTTGAACATGCGCGGCATTATGCGTAGAACTTCAAATATATGCGAAATACTAAATAAGCATTTTAATTATATACCTCTTCTCCTGAATAAATACTCCCCAATTCTTGGGCGCTTTCAAGTCCGAGATCTGACATCAGCATCCTATTCTCGTCGGTTACAACAACCTTATCTGTAGCTCCAATGAACAAATGAGCGGTGTCTGTTTCCGCTGAGCACACTACCCGAACGCTAAAATGAACGAGGTTAATGTTTGAGTATTTGGAATAAAAACAATGACCATATCAAACGCGAACTGTAATTAAATAAATAACTAGACATAAAAAGGAAGGGCGCCAGATAATTGGTATTTAAGTAGATCAGCTACCGCCCTCCCACATTGCTATATACCATACTACATTTTTGGTATACTGAGAAGGATTTAAATGTTTAAAATAGATGGAGCCGTTAAACCGTACAATTCTGATCGCAGATTCCACAACCACTTATTTTCAAAGGGACAGTTAATATAAAATGCGGTTCAGTGGTATAAAAAAAATTATTACGTAATACTATAGATTGAAAAGAATGATACCTCCTGGTATTAGAATAACTAGACAAGGGGCAATGGCCGAAACCAGGTACCGGCTGCAACTCACATACGCACACGCGGTGGCTACATGGCTCGCAAGTAGAAAAGCGAATCTATTGAATACAACCACTATAATTGTTGATTCTTATTGTAGTCAAATGGTGATAATTCATTCATATTTGGAAATTAACAGAAAGCGAATATCTTTTTAGTACCTATCGATTTTTAAAAATTTTCGATTAACTTACTGGTGATCATAAAGAGTATCAATTAGGGTAATGAACCGACGAGCTTGACTTTTTTGCTTGATAGTCAACCGAGGGATGTCTCGTATAAATATTGTATGAAATATCTGAAAAAAAAAGGAAAATGTTATGCCATCAGTAAATATAAAACGGTTTTTATGGAGTCATTGATGCCAAGCTCAAAAAAAAAATCAATTTCCGTTTTTACATGCTACTTGTTCTCGATTCCACTGGCGACTATTCAGCTTATATGTGTATTTGTGGCAAACGAAGTGTGACATTTAACATATTGGATTTACTCAAGTAACTACTTGAATCAGTATTGTAGATAATGAGTATACAAGAGACAGTTATCTATTTCGTTAGCGGATTTATTGGCATGAAAGTTCATAGTGATCTTAGAAATTTAATAACAACCTGATTTTACCTGACTTAGATAAACATAATCAACGGCTCCGAGAGGGCGATCACATAGTTCCTCGAATGTAGCATCCAGCACCTGACCACAGCATTTTCTGTAAGCGATACTAATGCTTGTCAATATTATATATCGCTTGCTAGTGATGATAAAGCTCCAACAGACTGCATAATTCGATTAGTTTTTTTAATTTAAACGGTATCTACTTAGCGTTTGTTATAGTCTATCGACTCTGTACTCCCCAGTCCACATAGAAGGTCACATATAAATATGGGATATACAACGGAAGTAGGAAAAAAGTGTCAATAGACTAAAGTAACGGTACTTGAAGGTGACGTTCCGTCCTTTAATGATTATTGTCCTTGGTCGCACTGTATCAGTTTCATGCGTACAAACAATCTTCCAGAGACGATCTAGCTCAGCATCTGCATCGCACTGCCCTTTTCTGAAACAATAAATAAAAGAAAACTAAATAAGTGCTAAAAAATAGATTTTATTACTACAGATTATTTTACAGATGCTAGGAGTTATACTAGCTAAATAAGATAAACAGGATATGGCAACAAATATTTCTTAAATCGATATGATAATAGTTTATTTAATTCTAGGTGATTATAACATCACAAAGTAATTCGTAGATCACATACATGAAATAGAAAGGTCGATCAGAAGTGCCAAAGATCTTTGAACGATAGTCGATTCCAGAATCGAGCATCACCGAATGACAGTTCTGCTTAAGAATGTCGATGAACGGGACGAAGTTTGACCGTTGCAGGCCATTTTTATATAAATCTATACATGTGCGTAAGATCACAAATAAAAATTTACCCATAAATACAAAATAAGGTCTCATTACTACATACATATAAGGCAAACTTGTACATTATATTTATAACATTTGCCACTAGCTTTTTACGCAGGTAATGTTTAACTAATATGGCAGCGAGCCCGATTATGATATTATATATTGAGAAACATCACCATAAGATTTTTTTTTGATGAATAAGAAACCGCTGCAATCAATGTTCATAGAGAAAATAATCAGTTTTGAGCATACCGTCTGGTTGCCGATTACTGGTGGCTACTAGAATCGTTCCATTTCGAAATATGTGATCAAAAAGTCGCTTTAAAATCATCGCGTCTGCAATATCTGTCACCTACAACATAATTATCGAAAAACATTTGAAGCGTTTTTTGTATTGTTATTATTATTCTATTATAAAATAATAATAATACACCATAAACCATAACAACGATCACATGAAAATAACTAGCTATGTTTTATAATACCTCGTCTAATTCAAAGGACCATCAAATACGAATAATGTTTCACTGAGAATTTAGAACTTTTGAAAATGACTAAATCACTTTGAAAATTACAAATAGCTACGTTATCTGGGCTACCTGAAATTCATCGAGGCAAATCAGTGTGTTCTTTTCAGAGATCTCGGCAGCAACGGGTGGTATTGGATCGTACGAGTCATCCTTTCGACCTACTTGACTTCTCTACAAGCAAATTAAGAAATACAGTAATACAATGGGTTTCTTACTCGAAGAGTTCAACAATTCCCGTCTTGAACATTTGTATTAGCTGTCTGTCACGCGAAATGAATAAGCGGCACCGTCGTACTATTATAGGATTCGTCAATATAAAGTCATAGATTTTATTATCTTTCTAAAAGGATGGTGCCCTACATATGATGTCTTAATAATGATGGCCACAGTCTTTGTGTGATATAAGAGCGTCTAACAGTTTACAAGTGTAGAAGTGACATTTGCTTTAACATGTCTAAAATACGTCTGTTCTCTTTTCCTAATATATTTATTTTTTCTTTTTTTTTCTA